TGGCTACGCAGGAATGGCGTGCGAAAACCCACTCTCAGCGTATGCAGCGGCTCCACTCATTTGATGATGCACACTGATCTCACCATTACCCTACCATCAGAGCATCACTAGGTGGTGATATCACTTCCAATACTTGCTTCGTCAACACTAATTTCGGGCGTGACTACTGCTAATTCGTGCAATCCGGTCAATTCACCAGTCTACATACGTACAGAAATACAAACGGCCATATCGTGTTTGGAAGGCAAAATCAGTGGCGACTCAGGCAAAATGGTCCTTGCCACGTGCCGTACGAGGACAACCAACTCCTTTCAGCTAGAAATTCTCAACGTGCGTCTCAGAAGCACTGTGGGCATAACTAAACCCACGTTTGAGGACATTTCATCGAACTGCCGTGAAGTGACACCTTCAAGTCGAAAGGCTATGGAATATTTGAACGCACGGTAGATCAAACTCGGAAGTCGGTATAATCCAGACTGCGATGTCTTGCTAACGAGGGGGAGGAATCTGGATGACACCATGCACAGATGCCAATTCTTTTCAAGTGTGCGTTGTAGTTCCGAAATTTAGGGGATGGGGGGTACACTTCACCAACTCCTTCACACCCATACAGCAGGACCGAAAGTGACAGTTGTGCCCTCTAACAGACAACAGAAAGCTTGTGGACTACATTTATTTCACTGAAAACCAATGCGAACACAAATGTGGGGAATCAGAGAGCAGTACAAGAAAGAAGCTCTAGATTGTGGGGCAATTACGGACGATACCACAAGACTTGGTAGCAGAATTCAAATTGCATCGATGTCAACATCATCATCTTCCTGTTCAGTACACTTCCCATTGGTTGTAGGAACGCTGGTACCATTCTCTCCGTTAGTTGGCTGTGGCACCTGAAGACATTATCTAGTGAGAAAATACATACCTTTGGGCTGCTAGCTTCAACTTCCTCCTCAGAGCTTCCTGACTCTTCCTCTTCAGCCTGCCTCAACCACGTCACCATGGGGGCGCAGCGAGACAGTATCTTAGCACTGAGTTCACGGGATACAAATTTTTTCGAAGGCTGTAATCCACCAATAAAACAAGTTTGGAACTTACCCCTCTATCGTACCATGCAAGGATAACATCTTCCTCGATGACGTCACTGTCGTACAGAGTCTTCAGAAGGTGACACGCCTTGTTTATCAGATTCTGGTCTGCATGTCTCTCGATGAGTTTCGCCATCGCACCCCAAGTGTACATCTGAGCGCGCTTCTGGTCCTCCCCAGACCGAGTGAAGAGTAGCAACATTGGGGCATACTTCTTGATATCAGCTAGGATGGTAGAAGGATTGTTGAACAACACCTCGGCGATAACGAGTACAGCCCGTGGACCAAGGTTAAGACGGTTAGCCTCCTGCCTTATCTCTTGTCGACGTGACAACACTTCATCGGACTGATGCATTTGGGACAGATGTTTGTAGAATATATCGGCCCTCTCAGTTTCGGAGCGTTCCACATCGTCACATAGAGCCAGAGACTTCGCCATGGCCGACAAGGTGTTCATTCGTTGACGTCGAGCCTCCTCAGTTGTATCTTCTAGCCAGTCTTCATCCTCATCATCTTCGTCGGCATTGACAGGGCTGTTGCGACTGTTTTCATCTCCACCGCCAGGGTTGCCCTCATTGTCATCATCTGAAAACGTAAGAGTTAAGACTATGTCCTACCTGAGGCCCTTTCATTTTCGCCCTTTGTCTTCTTACTCTTCTTCTGTTTCGACTTGGCCGGAGGGACCTCCGTCTCGGGAGGATTCTTCACAATATACTGGGTCAATCTGTGAGTGACATCGAGCTGACCCTGACTACCGCATGCTTTGCAGGTAGTGGCAACCGTACCGCCCCTTTTATTCACATGCTGGTGAAATGTCGATAGGTGAAAACACAACTAACCATAGTGGTCTCCGGATTCCCACAACTCTGACACAACACGAATTTCTTGATGAAGCCATCTAGTAGTTCTTGTAGTTTTTCTGCTTGGTGAGCCCCATTAACAATGTAACGCTCATTCTTTTCGTCTACATGGATCTGTGCCCCTAACTCGCATCCAAAGAACTTCGTGAGGTCTAAAGCAGTTGAGTACAAAATGCAGTGACATACATATGGGTTTTCGGTACAAAGCTTTCGCAATATCTGAGACATTAACAATGACTGTTTTTATACCATTTCCTTTCCCCTCTACCTACACAGACCTTAGTTGATGCACAATCTTACCTTGGCGGCGAGCTTCGGCATTTTGTACCTGTAAAAGGTATCTTCAACCTCTCGATTGATGTTGATAGCCATTTTCGGTGACACCAACTACCATCTGCCTGTGGATGATTACAGCCTTCAACCATGAAACAGGATCGGCACCCAGTCTGAAAAACACACTAGTTAGTAAACCTGATCAACCCTGCGTTCCAAAACCACCATGCAACCACTTACATATAAACTTGGAAGTGGAGTCCGGATGAAAGCAACGTAAAGTGCGGATACCCAACGCAGCGGATGCTCGCGCATTTAAACAACGTCGTTCAAGGAGTTCAAGGTCGACAAGTGATGTACTTATGGACGAACTAACACTTTCTTTTTCACAGGATTCACAGCGTGAAAATGGTCTTAGAAAGTCGCAACTACCCAGATGGCCACACGTCATATGTTCCGTAATTACAGGATCCACACTAGCATGACCATTGAAGTATGTCTCGGTTTTTTGGTTGGCCTTATGTCACATGCACTGCATGTCTGGGCTGGTCTAGCTGTTGCTGTTGACGACGCCTTGACATTCGAGATCGTGGTGCTGGCTACACAAATATATCTATTCTTTTGTTGGAGACATCTGAAGGAAGAGCTGAGATAATAACGCTTGTGAGGTGGTTCCACCCTTATGGGACTTGAACAGATAGTTTCTACGATATTTCGTACCTCAAGTATGGTACTTCCAACTTTTGGTGGCTCACTCTGTGTCTTCTGTGGTCTTTTTTCATTGCCAGCCCGCGTAGATGGTGTCTAGGATTGTTTGCTATCAAGATCACTCTGAGCTCACCTATTGTCCGGATGGAATGCGTTCTGTAGCTTAATTCTCTCGACAACACTGAATTGACCATGTGACTCCAGTCCGTTAATGACATGTGGCGATTGTCTGAGTCTGTTAGAGGCCAAAACCATGTTGACATTGGATTGGATGGATTCTCCAGAGCTTTTAGCAAAGTGACCGATAGCTTCAAGCCATGGAAGCTTCAGGCTGTAGGCACAAAGAGGCTGTGATAAGGGAGTATAGGCGACTGTCTCGAGATAGGGTCACAGGCTTTTAGGATTCACTCATCACGGTTATGTCGGTTCATTGTGTCAGGATGAGGTTTCACAGGTTTCCGCTCTTGATCATTCGTTGTTTTTTTTGTCGATGACACAGTAGGTGTTTCCATGCCTCATCCACCTACGCCTGCTGATGCTTTCAAGGTCTGGAGGGGAAGTTACTAGTCTATAGGTGTTGGTCACCTTCAAGGGCATCTGGAAAATGTGTGCGAATGGGCCGTAGAGAATTCACCTCTAGTCAAGTCTAGTAAATGTCACTGGATGTTGGCAAATGACCATACTGGCAAAGACATCCCCACAGTCAATTACCTTTGATTCGGCGATATTCGGTAGTGAGGTGATGACCTTTGTGGTTTAGCATGTTCCTCTTAGACTATGGAACACGGCCGAGCATTCACGCTGTTCAACTCGGTACAATGTGTGTGTTCTACACCCGGCAATCAATTAGCGTCGTTTCCTGAACTCACACGCATAACATTCAAGTGGGTACAAAGATTTATTTGTCGGTATCTGAGTCTGCTCAGATCACTTTCACAGCTCCTGAGTTAGAAAAACCACCTAATCCACTGATGACAACCAGGTGTATTGTTTCGATATTATGACACATCGTACCGTTTCCATCACTGGGAATCTTGCCGACCATCTACGAGTAAGGCCCATGGTGTTCTCAAGTTCTAATCGAGAACTCGCAGAGGCGATAGATCTGAACACCGGAAGGCTGTCCGCAGTCAGGGTAGCATTAACCGACGCAGCTGCATGAAGATATTTGAGATGTATGCTCCTTGAAGGAAGTTCACTATGGCTACGCAGGAATGGCGTGCGAAAACCCACTCTCAGCGTATGCAGCGGCTCCACTCATTTGATGATGCACACTGATCTCACCATTACCCTACCATCAGAGCATCACTAGGTGGTGATATCACTTCCAATACTTGCTTCGTCAACACTAATTTCGGGCGTGACTACTGCTAATTCGTGCAATCCGGTCAATTCACCAGTCTACATACGTACAGAAATACAAACGGCCATATCGTGTTTGGAAGGCAAAATCAGTGGCGACTCAGGCAAAATGGTCCTTGCCACGTGCCGTACGAGGACAACCAACTCCTTTCAGCTAGAAATTCTCAACGTGCGTCTCAGAAGCACTGTGGGCATAACTAAACCCACGTTTGAGGACATTTCATCGAACTGCCGTGAAGTGACACCTTCAAGTCGAAAGGCTATAGAATATTTGAACGCACGGTAGATCAAACTCGGAAGTCGGTATAATCCAGACTGCGATGTCTTGCTAACGAGGGGGAGGAATCTGGATGACACCATGCACAGATGCCAATTCTTTTCAAGTGTGCGTTGTAGTTCCGAAATTTAGAGGATGGGGGGTACACTTCACCAACTCCTTCACACCCATACAGCAGGACCGAAAGTGACAGTTGTGCCCTCTAACAGACAACAGAAAGCTTGTGGACTACATTTATTTCACTGAAAACCAATGCGAACACAAATGTGGGGAATCAGAGAGCAGTACAAGAAAGAAGCTCTAGATTGTGGGGCAATTACGGACGATACCACAAGACTTGGTAGCAGAATTCAAATTGCATCGATGTCAACATCATCATCTTCCTGTTCAGTACACTTCCCATTGGTTGTAGGAACGCTGGTACCATTCTCTCCGTTAGTTGGCTGTGGCACCTGAAGACATTATCTAGTGAGAAAATACATACCTTTGGGCTGCTAGCTTCAACTTCCTCCTCAGAGCTTCCTGACTCTTCCTCTTCAGCCTGCCTCAACCACGTCACCATGGGGGCGCAGCGAGACAGTATCTTAGCACTGAGTTCACGGGATACAAATTTTTTCGAAGGCTGTAATCCACCAATAAAACAAGTTTGGAACTTACCCCTCTATCGTACCATGCAAGGATAACATCTTCCTCGATGACGTCACTGTCGTACAGAGTCTTCAGAAGGTGACACGCCTTGTTTATCAGATTCTGGTCTGCATGTCTCTCGATGAGTTTCGCCATCGCACCCCAAGTGTACATCTGAGCGCGCTTCTGGTCCTCCCCAGACCGAGTGAAGAGTAGCAACATTGGGGCATACTTCTTGATATCAGCTAGGATGGTAGAAGGATTGTTGAACAACACCTCGGCGATAACGAGTACAGCCCGTGGACCAAGGTTAAGACGGTTAGCCTCCTGCCTTATCTCTTGTCGACGTGACAACACTTCATCGGACTGATGCATTTGGGACAGATGTTTGTAGAATATATCGGCCCTCTCAGTTTCGGAGCGTTCCACATCGTCACATAGAGCCAGAGACTTCGCCATGGCCGACAAGGTGTTCATTCGTTGACGTCGAGCCTCCTCAGTTGTATCTTCTAGCCAGTCTTCATCCTCATCATCTTCGTCGGCATTGACAGGGCTGTTGCGACTGTTTTCATCTCCACCGCCAGGGTTGCCCTCATTGTCATCATCTGAAAACGTAAGAGTTAAGACTATGTCCTACCTGAGGCCCTTTCATTTTCGCCCTTTGTCTTCTTACTCTTCTTCTGTTTCGACTTGGCCGGAGGGACCTCCGTCTCGGGAGGATTCTTCACAATATACTGGGTCAATCTGTGAGTGACATCGAGCTGACCCTGACTACCGCATGCTTTGCAGGTAGTGGCAACCGTACCGCCCCTTTTATTCACATGCTGGTGAAATGTCGATAGGTGAAAACACAACTAACCATAGTGGTCTCCGGATTCCCACAACTCTGACACAACACGAATTTCTTGATGAAGCCATCTAGTAGTTCTTGTAGTTTTTCTGCTTGGTGAGCCCCATTAACAATGTAACGCTCATTCTTTTCGTCTACATGGATCTGTGCCCCTAACTCGCATCCAAAGAACTTCGTGAGGTCTAAAGCAGTTGAGTACAAAATGCAGTGACATACATATGGGTTTTCGGTACAAAGCTTTCGCAATATCTGAGACATTAACAATGACTGTTTTTATACCATTTCCTTTCCCCTCTACCTACACAGACCTTAGTTGATGCACAATCTTACCTTGGCGGCGAGCTTCGGCATTTTGTACCTGTAAAAGGTATCTTCAACCTCTCGATTGATGTTGATAGCCATTTTCGGTGACACCAACTACCATCTGCCTGTGGATGATTACAGCCTTCAACCATGAAACAGGATCGGCACCCAGTCTGAAAAACACACTAGTTAGTAAACCTGATCAACCCTGCGTTCCAAAACCACCATGCAACCACTTACATATAAACTTGGAAGTGGAGTCCGGATGAAAGCAACGTAAAGTGCGGATACCCAACGCAGCGGATGCTCGCGCATTTAAACAACGTCGTTCAAGGAGTTCAAGGTCGACAAGTGATGTACTTATGGACGAACTAACACTTTCTTTTTCACAGGATTCACAGCGTGAAAATGGTCTTAGAAAGTCGCAACTACCCAGATGGCCACACGTCATATGTTCCGTAATTACAGGATCCACACTAGCATGACCATTGAAGTATGTCTCGGTTTTTTGGTTGGCCTTATGTCACATGCACTGCATGTCTGGGCTGGTCTAGCTGTTGCTGTTGACGACGCCTTGACATTCGAGATCGTGGTGCTGGCTACACAAATATATCTATTCTTTTGTTGGAGACATCTGAAGGAAGAGCTGAGATAATAACGCTTGTGAGGTGGTTCCACCCTTATGGGACTTGAACAGAATAGTTTCTACGATATTTCGTACCTCAAGTATGGTACTTCCAACTTTTGGTGGCTCACTCTGTGTCTTCTGTGGTCTTTTTTCATTGCCAGCCCGCGTAGATGGTGTCTAGGATTGTTTGCTATCAAGATCACTCTGAGCTCACCTATTGTCCGGATGGAATGCGTTCTGTAGCTTAATTCTCTCGACAACACTGAATTGACCATGTGACTCCAGTCCGTTAATGACATGTGGCGATTGTCTGAGTCTGTTAGAGGCCAAAACCATGTTGACATTGGATTGGATGGATTCTCCAGAGCTTTTAGCAAAGTGACCGATAGCTTCAAGCCATGGAAGCTTCAGGCTGTAGGCACAAAGAGGCTGTGATAAGGGAGTATAGGCGACTGTCTCGAGATAGGGTCACAGGCTTTTAGGATTCACTCATCACGGTTATGTCGGTTCATTGTGTCAGGATGAGGTTTCACAGGTTTCCGCTCTTGATCATTCGTTGTTTTTTTGTCGATGACACAGTAGGTGTTTCCATGCCTCATCCACCTACGCCTGCTGATGCTTTCAAGGTCTGGAGGGGAAGTTACTAGTCTATAGGTGTTGGTCACCTTCAAGGGCATCTGGAAAATGTGTGCGAATGGGCCGTAGAGAATTCACCTCTAGTCAAGTCTAGTAAATGTCACTGGATGTTGGCAAATGACCATACTGGCAAAGACATCCCCACAGTCAATTACCTTTGATTCGGCGATATTCGGTAGTGAGGTGATGACCTTTGTGGTTTAGCATGTTCCTCTTAGACTATGGAACACGGCCGAGCATTCACGCTGTTCAACTCGGTACAATGTGTGTGTTCTACACCCGGCAATCAATTAGCGTCGTTTCCTGAACTCACACGCATAACATTCAAGTGGGTACAAAGATTTATTTGTCGGTATCTGAGTCTGCTCAGATCACTTTCACAGCTCCTGAGTTAGAAAAACCACCTAATCCACTGATGACAACCAGGTGTATTGTTTCGATATTATGACACATCGTACCGTTTCCATCACTGGGAATCTTGCCGACCATCTACGAGTAAGGCCCATGGTGTTCTCAAGTTCTAATCGAGAACTCGCAGAGGCGATAGATCTGAACACCGGAAGGCTGTCCGCAGTCAGGGTAGCATTAACCGACGCAGCTGCATGAAGATATTTGAGATGTATGCTCCTTGAAGGAAGTTCACTATGGCTACGCAGGAATGGCGTGCGAAAACCCACTCTCAGCGTATGCAGCGGCTCCACTCATTTGATGATGCACACTGATCTCACCATTACCCTACCATCAGAGCATCACTAGGTGGTGATATCACTTCCAATACTTGCTTCGTCAACACTAATTTCGGGCGTGACTACTGCTAATTCGTGCAATCCGGTCAATTCACCAGTCTACATACGTACAGAAATACAAACGGCCATATCGTGTTTGGAAGGCAAAATCAGTGGCGACTCAGGCAAAATGGTCCTTGCCACGTGCCGTACGAGGACAACCAACTCCTTTCAGCTAGAAATTCTCAACGTGCGTCTCAGAAGCACTGTGGGCATAACTAAACCCACGTTTGAGGACATTTCATCGAACTGCCGTGAAGTGACACCTTCAAGTCGAAAGGCTATGGAATATTTGAACGCACGGTAGATCAAACTCGGAAGTCGGTATAATCCAGACTGCGATGTCTTGCTAACGAGGGGGAGGAATCTGGATGACACCATGCACAGATGCCAATTCTTTTCAAGTGTGCGTTGTAGTTCCGAAATTTAGGGGATGGGGGGTACACTTCACCAACTCCTTCACACCCATACAGCAGGACCGAAAGTGACAGTTGTGCCCTCTAACAGACAACAGAAAGCTTGTGGACTACATTTATTTCACTGAAAACCAATGCGAACACAAATGTGGGGAATCAGAGAGCAGTACAAGAAAGAAGCTCTAGATTGTGGGGCAATTACGGACGATACCACAAGACTTGGTAGCAGAATTCAAATTGCATCGATGTCAACATCATCATCTTCCTGTTCAGTACACTTCCCATTGGTTGTAGGAACGCTGGTACCATTCTCTCCGTTAGTTGGCTGTGGCACCTGAAGACATTATCTAGTGAGAAAATACATACCTTTGGGCTGCTAGCTTCAACTTCCTCCTCAGAGCTTCCTGACTCTTCCTCTTCAGCCTGCCTCAACCACGTCACCATGGGGGCGCAGCGAGACAGTATCTTAGCACTGAGTTCACGGGATACAAATTTTTTCGAAGGCTGTAATCCACCAATAAAACAAGTTTGGAACTTACCCCTCTATCGTACCATGCAAGGATAACATCTTCCTCGATGACGTCACTGTCGTACAGAGTCTTCAGAAGGTGACACGCCTTGTTTATCAGATTCTGGTCTGCATGTCTCTCGATGAGTTTCGCCATCGCACCCCAAGTGTACATCTGAGCGCGCTTCTGGTCCTCCCCAGACCGAGTGAAGAGTAGCAACATTGGGGCATACTTCTTGATATCAGCTAGGATGGTAGAAGGATTGTTGAACAACACCTCGGCGATAACGAGTACAGCCCGTGGACCAAGGTTAAGACGGTTAGCCTCCTGCCTTATCTCTTGTCGACGTGACAACACTTCATCGGACTGATGCATTTGGGACAGATGTTTGTAGAATATATCGGCCCTCTCAGTTTCGGAGCGTTCCACATCGTCACATAGAGCCAGAGACTTCGCCATGGCCGACAAGGTGTTCATTCGTTGACGTCGAGCCTCCTCAGTTGTATCTTCTAGCCAGTCTTCATCCTCATCATCTTCGTCGGCATTGACAGGGCTGTTGCGACTGTTTTCATCTCCACCGCCAGGGTTGCCCTCATTGTCATCATCTGAAAACGTAAGAGTTAAGACTATGTCCTACCTGAGGCCCTTTCATTTTCGCCCTTTGTCTTCTTACTCTTCTTCTGTTTCGACTTGGCCGGAGGGACCTCCGTCTCGGGAGGATTCTTCACAATATACTGGGTCAATCTGTGAGTGACATCGAGCTGGCCCTGACTACCGTATTTTTGCTGATGGTTGGAACTTATGTCATATTGTATGGATATTTTTGGGAACTTTGACTTTGTGCTGGGTGCGTTTACTGGAATTTATCGACGTTGATATTTCGTGTCTTCTTTTTAGGCCCCAGTTTTTTGTTTTGAATAATTTTTCCAGTTGTATTACTTTTTTTCTTGCCTGTTTTTTCGCTCGTTTCTCCTCTCTACAATTTTGTCTTTTTATCGATATTCAGTTGATATATTACACGTTTCATCATCGCTCTTCATGGAATAATCTATCTTGGAATATTTTCGTCTTACTATACTCATACACACAAATGTGGATCACATTTGAGCTGTACCTTTCTGGCGAGATATTTCTTTACGAGTGAGAATACCGAGGTGACTTGTTGTTGGAAGTTATGTTTCTGGACAGTACTCTGCTGGACCTCGAACGGTTTAGCATAGCTGCATGGTACACGCTCTACTACAGCCTCGAAAATCTTAGAAATGTAGCGTCTTCCTTAGCCTGGATTCGGAAAAGAACAAATGTGAGCACTAAACAGCTATGAGCAAAAAAAGGAGTTCACGGGAAGCATGACAAGGAGATAAGTAAGCACAGGAATGACTGATTTGTTTACATAAAACGTGAATAAGCGGATGCTCCCGTAAATAAAGAAGATCTCAGGAGACCAAGTAAGGTAGGAAGAAAACCACAAGCCAAGAGGGATCATACTAGCTTCATCCTCTGTAACAGCACCATCTACAACGCAAGAGTCATGGGACTGAAGCAGTGCGCAAAGATCTTTTCCACGTCTTATGCTAAAATTAGCCACCTGACATTTGGAAGGATTCGGCGTGAGGCCATTTAAGGAAGACCAGTAACCAATTTCGTTTGTGAAGTTATTGAACTGAGAACAATCTGAAAAGGAGATGATCGGGATGGACACTGTCAGGTCGTCGGCGTACTTAACAAAGTTAACTTTGGTTGAGGTTGGAAAGTGGTGCATAAAGAAAGGGAAAGAAAAAAACCTTGAGGCACACCGGCTTCACTGGGCAGCGAAGTAGACTGCCTTCAACGGCATGGGGTGTACTATCTTGTCTCAGAAAAAATACAGATCGAGCCATTTTGCGATCTAGAACTCAATTATTCATACTGGCAGGCATGTTTGATGGTAGGGTTCTCGGGATAGAGCCAAAAGCAGAAGTATGATCGAAGAAGGCGGATCCAATGTGCTTAGGACCTTAGTCCAGACTGGCAATAATATCATGGTGTGAAACAACTGCGGCGTCTAAGGAACTCCTTCTAGGTTTGTAGGAAGTGAGTTTGGTCTATGAAAGCCTCAAAGGGAGGTTCAAACATACAAAGCAAC